GGACGCTTGGGCGGGGTTCCATCCGCACCAACTCTCGTATGAGATGGACTGGATGGAAGCGCAGAAGCAACTCCACGAAGTTCTAGAAGGCTCGGGAGAGCGCCTCGCGGCAGCACCCCACACAGCAAGTCGGTCATGTCCAGCTGAGGCGTGAGGTCACACGCTGGGGTTTGGCTGACAAACACAGATGCCAGGAAATAAAGGTTCCTGAAGAGAACGCACCTGCACTTACCTTGGGGTAGGCAAAGACTCTCCGACAGAACACAAAAAACAGTAAAAAAAAATGTTGCTAAACATACTTCATTGATACTAACATTTCTCTGATCAAAACACAGCACTGAGAAGAGAGGCAAACAGTGCACAGACCCAACCAAAAACTGACATCCGGAACACCCCGCGGGAGAAGGGCGGGCACCGGACTCAAGCACACGTGGAGGACGGACACCTGAGGAGTCCGGGCTGGGACCAGCACATCCCACGGGCAGGCGCCTCATGGGCACGACGCTGGCTCGGGGACGGGATGCAGCCTCGGGGAGGGCGGTCGGCCAGCCCCCCTGCGAGCTGGCTTTGCACTCCTGCGGGTTTGCCGGCAGAAAGGAGAGCCTGCGTCCACATGGGGACTGGCACACACCCGCACGTCTGTTCACGACAGGCAGACCTCGGGACAACTGTGGGTCCGGAGACATGGCGTAAATGGTGGTGTGGGGCGCGTTCCTAAGAGGCCGTGTGTGGACGTCCGGGGACAGGCAGAGCTGGTGCCGGCTGCAGCTGCCTCCCGCCCCGCAGGGCCTGGGCACGCCTGGGAGGGGTCCCCGAGAACGTTCTGCGGGAGAAGTGGCTGCATCCTGCGTGGGCGACGGACACCTGAGTGTACACGGTTGTCGGGACGCACGGGACACTCACGATGGGTGTTCGTTTCACGTGGTCATCGAGCCCGTCATTCAGAGCGAGTCGTGGGTTTTCTTCTCCCACACAGGACTTGCTGGCAAAGGCAGTCCCAGCCCTGGGGGACCCTGGCCCGGAGACCGCCGACGCCCGGAAGGCACCGTGTGTGGGGCGCAGGATCCGGGGCAGACGGCGCGCTTCTCTCGTAACCCGACCCACGCACTTGTGCCAGGGCCCCTCGAGGCTCCGACACTGGCTGGCAGTGGGACCGTGTTTCCGGGCGCACGTGGAACGTGGGCCCCGTGTCTGCTCCGCACCGAAGCAGTCTGCTCCCTCGGTGTCCAAACCGTGCCCCTTGGGGGACTCGCCCCACTTCTGTGAGAGGGAGAAGGGGCTGGGGCGGGGAAGCCCCCCGGGCCGCACCTGCATCGGCTCTTTCCCTGGGAGGCGCGGCGGCTGCCCCGGGCGAGTCACCCGGAGCTCTCTGGGAAGCAGTTCGGTGTCCGGGTGCCCCACCTTCTGAGGGGCTGGGTCCCGGCCGGCACTGAGGGGACAAGAGAGGTGCTGCCAACCACCTCGAGCTTCCCACGGGGGAGGAGTCAGGACCCTTCCTTGGACTCACATTCCTCCAGTAAAACTGTGTCAAACGTAATGGAGTAAGTGCCGCATGCCCCCATGAAAGCCAGCCCTGCGTGGCTGTCACCGGGTCCTTGCCGTCCTATCCCGGGGTCCCCGCTCTGGGAGACGCACGCATCCTCCGACCTGCTTCATCGCGTTCGCGCGGACAGCAAAGCGAGGGGCCTTCCCACGAGCGCGCGCGGGAGGCCGGACCACACTCCAGCTCGCGGGTGCTCGGGGGGTGGTTCTGGAAAGAACGGTCGGTGGTGCTGTGACCTCTGGCCTCAGCTTCAGCCCCTGCTCACGGCCGCACGCTCAGTCCCTCGGCTCCTGTCTGCCTCAGAACAGCCTGGGCCTAAATGGGCAGCGAGGCCTCGTGGCAGGTGGGCGCCTGCAGAGCTCCCCCCGCTGCTGGCAGCCCCTCGCGGGCCGGGGCGGGAGGAGACGACAGGGCACCGTCAGTCACCCCCACACACACAACGCCGTGTTCCCGGCACCTGCCGGCCGTGCTGACTGCGCCCTGCACGCTGGATCCCGGGGCAGCTCCTGCACCACTGTCCCTGGGCCGGGAGACTGAAGGGGCAGGGCGCGGTGGGACGGCTCAGTCCCGAGAGGAGCCCAGGCGGTCCTCTGGCCCCAGTGCCGAGCAATAGCTCGTGACCCTGAACCTCACGTGCACCCAAGACGTAGAGGTCCCCCACGTGCATGCTCAGCCCCCAGAGGAGAGGGATGGCGGGAAGCCCGAGTGGCGTCCCAGACGGCCAGGCCTGCCCGCAGGAAGAGTGGGCGTATCCTTCTCAGCCCATGACCCCGTTAGTGTGCGCGGCCCAGGGTCATCAAGCCTTCTGGAACTCGGAGGGGAGAAGCCCCAGCGTGGCCCAGCGCCCCCGTTTGCAGAGGAAGGAGGCAGGGCTGCCCGTGGGAGAGTGGGATGCCGTGCGCACTCGGGATGGGGCTGCTGCTGACGGCTCCCCATGTCTGGTGCCCCCGCAGGCCCGGCAGCACAGGGAAACAGGTCCTTCCTGCACCAAGGCCTTGGGCTGCCTCTGTCCAAATGGGGACACATTTGACAAGAAGCATGTCCTCGGACCCGTGAACATCTGGAGAGGCCCGTCCACGTCCCTGGGCGGCTGCCTTCGTGCTCCTGCCTCCCCCTCACTGCCCCAGGCCTGAGGCTGCCCCGGCAAGCCTGCAATGTTCCAGCACCTCGCACCCTCCCTTCCCCAGAGAGCAGGCGTGGACAGCTGTGGTCATGTGGCTCTCTCTGGGTCTGGCCTGGTACTGGCTTGTCTGAGCCATTTTTTCAGAACTAATTTTGGGCTGAAAAGGGCTGACAGAAGTCTTTGTTCCTTTGACGCTCACTCAGGAAGGAAAAATCCGTGGAAAATCTGACATGTGCACTACAGGGAGAAGTCAGCGGATGGGGAGGAATATAATTACTCTCCGCTCCCGGAAGAATGTCTCAGATCTTTAAGTGTCTCGTATCAGCTTAGAACTTGAATGACATTTTAATTATTTTGTTTTTTTCTTCTCTGCCTGGTTCGAGTCTCTAAGGAAACCCACTCTCGGATTCCGAGGGGTGCGGGGAGCGGAGCCTCGCTCACGGGGCTGTCGCGTGACAGCAGCTGCTCTCCCGCCCCGGGAGGAAGGACGCACTTGGGTCTGGACCACAGGCGCGCAGGTCTTCCTGTGTGTCCCACAGAGGGGCACCCGGGGCTGTGTCTCCCGCATTGCTGTGCCCAAGCAAACCCAGTTCCCGGAAGGACAGGACTCCAGTCTCCAGGTAGCACCCCCCAGGTGCCTGGCGGCTGCGGCTGTGTGGGGGACACACGGGCACCCCCAAGGGGCCAGCTGGCAGCGGGGGGCCGAGCACAGTGAGTGCACGACCTGGTCCGAGCAGCCGGTGGTCAGGGCTGGGGACACCAGGGTTCTCGGAGCTCTGGGACGTAGGTCTGTGATCCGGCCAGCGGCAGCATGTTGAGCTCCTGCCGAGCCCCTGTGCGTGGCCGCGTCATTTCTCGGGCTTCAGAGGCCCCAGGGGCTGCCACATGTCCCTGGGACTTCTTGTCACATCTTGTCCCTGCCTCTTTGACTGTTGCTGTGTCCATGCCGCTACCCACTCAGCACCCATGTTGCCCCCCAACGCATCCTGTGGGCTCCGCGTCCCAACTCCTGGGTGGTCCTTCTGCCTGGACGGCCACAGGGCTGACACAGGACCATCCTATCCCCACTCAGGGCCCTTCCCTGCGTCGAAGTCCCATTTTACATGTCAGCGTCAGGGCCAGCACCCAGGTCTGCGTCCACTCAGCTCGGCATTGCCACGAGGCTGTGCTGCCCACGGGACTAAAGCCCACGGTCATGGGGCGTCCGTGAGAAGGCAGAGCTAAGGCTCCCGCAGCCACCCCTCCTGGCGGCCGCCCTCCCGGCCTCAGCCCTGACCTCAGCCCTGGCCAGCTCCGTCCCTGCCCGAACCACACTGACATGGTGGCCCCGGCGCCCCTGGGCATTGTCCACCACGGCCTTCCCTGGTCTCTGCGCCGCTCACCCCCGCTGCCTGGCGTGTCCGTGTCCGCTCCGCGCTCCTCCAGCCCATCCCGCTCCTCTGTGGCTGCCCGCCCTCCTGCCGAGGAGCCCAGCGCCTCTTCTCTGCCCACGCCGCCCCGACCAAGGCAGGCCCACTCCCGTGCCAGGCTGGGCCTCTGCAGCAGAGTCTGCCGACGGGGCGGGCGTTGGCCGGAGCAGCGGGAGCCGTAAAAGCCAGCGTCACGAGAGAGCCCGGCCGCGTCCCATGGCTTCACGGCCGCGTACCTCCTCGCCTCCTCGGAACCACAGTCCACGTCTGGGCCCCCCAGCGGAGCTTCCAGTGCTGGCGGGGACGGCCCCGACTTAGGAAGGGAGCCGCGAGCTCCCGAGAGGAAGTGGGGAGCAGGCACGGTGCTGGGGAGCTCGGCCGCAGACCATTCAGGGGACCCTCCTCCACAGCAGCAGAGCCGTTCGCTGGACGCTCAGGGGTCGGGCACCTGGTTTCCCCGCGTGCTGCGGGAGTGAGCCTCGGGCTGCCAGGAGGGGATCTGCAGGCCCCGAGCTTGCGAGCCGCTCGCCGCCCTCCTGAGACACGCAGCCCCCTTTCCTGGCTCCCTCGGCCTCCGGCATCCGTCCGGCCGTAGCTTTGCCTGCCTGTCCACTTTCAAAGCCTGCGAAGTGCGTTCCTGCGACGACGCTCAGAGAACCGGAGTTTCGGGAAAGCGCAGAGGCGCCGCGTTCACCCGAGGAAGCCGGCAGCTGGACGCGTCGCGCGCACGTTGGACTTGGCCGTCGAGGGCCTGGCTGTGCTGCCGCCGCGGCCGCTTGCGTCTGCTGTTACGCATCTCAGGCAGGCGACGCCCTCCCGCCGCTCCCCAGAAGCCTTTGGGTTGCACCTGCGGCCAGTTTGCACCCCATGGGACCACCGGCAGCCTCGGGAGTGGCTCACGCTTCTGTCTGTCTTGCCTTGGCAGGGCCTGATCAAGATCCGGGGGGACCGGTGCTGGCGGGACCTCACCTGCATGGACTTCCACTATGAGGTGAGCTGCACGGCGGCCGCGGACCCAGCTCCCTGTCCCCGCCCGCCCCGTCCAGGGGCACCGGCCCCCATATCACAGGCGCAAGCCTCTCGGAGGCCACAGCTCAGTTCACGGGGCCCCTCCGGCTTGCTCTCTCGCCAGGGCACAGGCAGGTCACACGGGGGCTGCAGGACGTCCCCTGTGCTGGGCTGGCGAGGGGGCTCCTGGCCCCCGCGGCTGTGGTCCAGGCGTCCATTCTGGCTGTGGGCACTGGTCCCTCCATCGCTGCGTGTGGTCCTGCCCAAGTACCTCCCACTCTTGGCATAGGGGCTGCCACACACGCCTCCAGCAGGAGTGCGTAGTGGGGAGCTGCTCTGCCACATGCCCTGCCCCACAAATCAGGGCACATGGACATGGGGGGAGGTGCAAGTCCTGCTGTCCTCAGAGGCCCATGGCCCCCTCCCCCACCTCAACCCCCAATTTTAGGCAGTTGTCATCCCCGCCCCCCACTCCCTGGGACCCCACCCAGGTCCAAGCTCCTCCGGACGTTCCTGTCCCTGCTGCCCGCTCACATGTTTGTGGGGGGCTGGGACCGTGTCTCCCCGTGAATGAATTAACCTGAGGGCGCGTGGGTCAGAGCAACCTCATCCACTCGCCCGTGGACACAGCGAATGCCTGTCACAGTGTTCTCTGCCCCTTGTCGGCCACAAAAACACTGGTGCCTGGAGCGCCACCTGTCAGATGGGACACTTGCTCCCTGTCTCCCACTCACGGCGACGCAGCGGCTGTCCTGTAAACGCTGCTGGGACCGTCCCACGCGTCCTGTGGCTTTTCAGTCCTTGGTGTGCCGGAGCTGCTGCCTCCCGAGACCTGGGTGCGTCTGCGGCCGTGTCACCTGTTACCCAGCCTGGCAGCAGGGGACGTCCCACGGGGGTGTGTTTGGCGGGGAGATCAGACTGGAGATCTCGCCCCGTCCCACCAGACTCCCCTCCCCTCCTGCCCAAGGGCCCGTGAGTCCCTCCCTTGGTTCCAGAGCCAACGCCCTGTGTGCTATGCCCGTGGCCTTGGGTGAAGCCGAGGGCACAGCTGGGGCTGCTGAGCCGCGGCCCCCACCAAGCACAGCGGAACATTCCTCACGTTCCCACACCAGCCCCAGCACCGGAGGCTTCTATATGTCTCTCCGGCTGGTGAGTCCGACCTTTAACTGCGACCCCGGGACACGGTCACAGCGGTTTTGTCCCGTAACCGGGGGAGGGTCTGGTAACCTGGAAGTAATTCGAATCAAGGTTGACGTTCCCGTGAAAGCTGTGCATGTTCACTGGGCGGAAGCCGTGACTCGGTTACCTCCAGCGGCGGGGCTGGGGCCCTCTGTGCTCTGTGCCCTGGCGGTTTTACTGATGTTACAGGAAGAGTATGTTTTGTGTGTGTCCTGGGGACTGCGTGGGTCAGCGCTGGGGCCTGGAGGGGAGCGCAGTCTGGCGTGTGCTCCTGGTGCGGCCCACGCCCTGGGGTCACCGGGAAGGGCAAGCCCCGCCAGACCAAGGCCAAGTCTGTGAGACGCGCGGACAGAGTGCCAGGGTGACGGTCGCTGCTCCAAGTACGCAGACTTGAGCCCAGGTCCATGTCACTCCTGCTCTTCGTACGGACCCGTGCTGCCCGCCCTCCCACGGCCACACTGGCTCACATGCTCCTAAGGAAGCGACCTCACGGCCTGACTCAGTTTCCCCCACTTGAGTAACCACCCCGACTCAGTTTCCCCCAATTGAGTAACCACCCCGAGGTTGTGGTCAGATTCGTGGCCCGTGTACTAGAGCGTGCGCTCGGGGAGGCTGGTCTGCCGGCATGACCGAGTGCCCAAACAGGTGGGCGCTTTGCACGTGGTTTTCGGTTACTCCTTTCTGATTTACTCCACCACTTTCAGAGACAGCGCGTGTCCATTCAGACCTGCGTCGTGGCCCGGAGCGTGGCCTCAGTGAGCGCTGCCTTTGAGCCGACCACAGGAACGTCCCGTGCCCCGTGACTGCTCCCGAAGTTGGGCTGCGGGCTTGGCACCTCCCGGTCTCCCGCCCCGCTGTCCGTGCGTCCTAGTACGGTTGAGAGAAGGGCCTGAAACGAGCAGCAGGAACTGTGGGCGCGGGGGCCACAGCTGTGGTGTCTGCCGCCCACGCGGTGTCTAGACGCTCTGGTGCGAGGCGCCTAGGTGTTGCTGCCCTGGGGGCCTCCTGGCGATCCCCAGTGGCCTTAAGAAACCACCTTCTGTCCCTGGTCTCGGTGCTTCCGAGGTCTGACAGCCGCCCCCGCACGCCCTCCCCTCCACAGGCCGCTGTGCCGGGTCTTGTCTTAGGGGGTGTGACAAACTCAGCCTTTTTTTTTTTTTTTTTAAGATTTTATTAGAGTGTGGGCAAGAGGGCGCACAGGCAGGAGGAGGGGCAGCGAGCAGGGAGCCGGCCGCGGGGCTCGATCCCAGGACTCTGAGGTCACGACGAGCCGCCCAGGCAGCCCCGGGTTCTGCCTCGCAGTGCGTTTGGGCCGCTCACACCAAGCTGCGCTTCGACCTGGTTTCCGACACCGTCGCTGGCTCCTTCTCCCGTCCGTCCTCCCGCGTCGCCGCGGCTTCTCTCGGGTCGCTCCATTCTCGCCACGGCTCCTTGGCTTCCCTCGGCACGCGAGCGCGGACGTCGGGGTTCTCGGCCCGTCTCGGGTGCGTCACCGCGTACCTGTGAGTGACGCGCTGCTCCTGTGAGCCGTGGGGACCGGCAGGGCCGTGGCCACGATCACACAGTTCCCATCCCAGAAACCGTGTGCCGCGGCGCTCCTCTGTTCGTCCACGGACTGGCCACTTCCAGGGCTGCCGCTCCGTGCCGACCGGACCTGGCCCGCCGTGCCCCCACCACCTGCTGGACGCCCCTCACGTAGCTCGCGTGCGGGCTCGCTGCCGGCGGGCTCCGCTCTGGAGGCCTCTCCCCTGCCTGCCTGGGCGGTGTGCGACAGGTACAACACGCGGGGCAGACCGCCACCCGTCCCTTGAAGACGAGGCTGGGACCCGGCCTCTCCCCACGGTTGGGCGGGAGGAGCCCCCGCAAAGGGGGGTGGTGGGCGGCAGCTCTTGGGGGTGCCACCACAGCTCACCCCAGTGTCCAGTCCTGCCCCCACGGCGCTGTGACTGCTCCTGTCCCGTGGGCCCAGGGCACCCCGTCACGTTCATAGCTCGCTCCTCCTCCTACATCACCCGTCATCTGGGTGGGCAGGGGCAGCGGCCACCGCTGGCTCTGCCTTGGCCTCACTCGGGACGGAGCCTTCAGCCCTGATATGGGGGGCCCCACCCGTCCCAAGACCCGTGGGGAGGCAGCCGCAGCTGTGCGCAAACACCGTCTCCGGGTTTTATCCTGAGCCCCTCACCGCCCAGGTGCCAGCGGTCCCCCTCCTACCATCTGGGGGCCACCAGCAGGCGGACGCCTCTGGTGTACGGGGGAGGCCCCCCACCCCGCAAACATATGGGGACTTAAGACTTCCCAGCGGCCTTTCTGCGGACACCTCAGTCCTGGGCTCTGCGAGGGGCAGGGGTCCTGGGCAGGCGGAGGGCTCGCGACTCAGTCCTTCTGATGGAACAGAATGTGGACGGCTTGGGGATTTTCAGAAATTTGTTCAGACAATTACGCACCTTCCCTTCCTGATTGAAGCCTCAAACACGTAATATACAGTCCCCGAAATGGGAAAATGGCTGAAAAAGCCATTTCTGTCTATCTCGGACTCACCACTGAGGCCTGGAAGGGAAGGTGTTGGAACAAGCGTGGAGGAACGTCGCTTTCCCCAAACCCTACGACTGTTTTTATCACCCGTGTTTTTCTTTTTTAAAAGTGTCTCTTCTTAAGGGAACCAGCCGCAAAGTGTTCCTGGGGTCAGGGCTGGCCGGCCGCCAACATCCAGGCTGCGCGGCACTCGGGCCACTTGGCCGCAGGGGTGAGCGTGGCTGAGCTTCCTGCTGGAGGCAGCACTGGGCACCCCTTCCCCCGCTTTATGGGGTGTGATGTTCCAGATGCCGTTTCCAGGGCTTACAGCCAGATTCTACGACACAGTGGGGTTTTTCCCAGCTTCAGTGCAAACAAAAATAAAACTGTCCTGGGCTTGCAGGAGCAGGGAGGCCTCGGGACCCTCCCCAGCCACGCAGAGAGGGCAGGTAGGCCGACACCCCCCCGCCCAGCAGACCGTAAACCCACAAGAGGAGCCCAGTCCCTGCACAGGCAGTGCAGGCGCTGGAAGACGGAGTGTCCCTGGAAGGAATTCCACGCCGCGGCTAGTGTCCGTCCCCAGGCACCGGCTGGCATTTCCGCAGCGGGGAGGGGGGTGCCTGGCCGCTCTGGGCTCACACCTGCCGACCCCGGCCCCACCGCTCCCCCGGCCGTGCAGCTGCTCCCTGGCTGTGCCGGCGGGGGACACTTCCGCTGAGCAAGGCTTCCCAGCACCCCCCCCCAGGCGTGTGCTGACCAGAACTGGCGGCCGCTGCCCCACAGAGGATACGTTTGGGCTGGAGCCCTTCTCCTGTGAACCCTGACCTGCCCCCGCAGCACTCTCCGTCCAGGCTCCTGCTGCTGCAGGCATGACCCAGGGGCTGCGGCAGGTGCGCCACCAGCCGGGTCCCCTCCTCCTCCCTGGTCCCGGGGCCGGCCTGCAGCGGATGCAGTGAGCCCGCCCTGGTGGACGGAGCCTTGCTGCCCAAAGGTGGGGCCGGTGCCCAGAGGCCTCAGGGGCCGCTCAGCCGCACTCCCTGCCCCGGACGGTGTATCTCTTTCGGCAAACCCTGAAGCCGAGTCGTGCGCTCTGCCCCGTGGCCGCCCGCACCCCGGCCGGTGCCCTCGGTGGGGAGGACCGGACGCAGGAGGGACCGCAGACCGCGTCTCCCGGATTCAGCGAGGCGCGTGGCTTCCCTCCCCAGGCTACAAGCAAGCACAGTGGGCTCCGTCTTTTTTTTTTTTTTTTTTTTAAGATTTTATTTATTTGACAGAAATCACAAGTAGGTGGAGAGGCAGGCAGAGAGAGAGGAGAAAGCAAGCTCCCCGCCGAGCAGAGAGCCCGATGCGGGGCTCGATCCCAGGACCCTGGGATCATGACCCGAGCCGAAGGCAGAGGCTTTAACCCACTGAGCCACCCAGGTGCCCCTCCGTCTCTTCTTCATACATGCGTCCTACCCTCAGCCAGGCCCGCCGTCCTGGAGGAGTCCTAGAAGGTCGGCCGTCGCTGGGGCCCTCCCTGGGTGCGGGCAGCCCCACACCTCCAGGCGCAGACGTGACCCCGTGCTGCGGGCACTTCTGGGGCGGTGACTGCTCCGAAGGCAAAGGGACACACGTCCTCTCCCTGCGTCTGTGCTCGTCCCCCTCACGTGTGCATCCTGTCACCACGGTGGCCTGGACAGTCGTGTGCCTCGAGTGCTTTTCAGAAGCCAGCCGAAGACTCCGCAGAACTGGCACCAAGACCTTGTCCTTCTCGGCCATTCGTGGACCGTCCGCGCTGGAGGGCAGAGCACATGTGGCTGCCTGTCTGCAGACCCTGCGGGACAACGAACGGGAAGGCCGCGTCACAGGGACACGCGCTGCACTTAACCCACCCACGAGCAGTGACCGCCACGTGTCCCGTCCACCAAGTGTCGGCCACACGTCGTTCCTGGGTTGCTCGGCTGGGGACTCGGTGTGGCAGAAGCCTCAGGAGGGAGCAGACAGGGCTCCGAGGCCGCGTGGCAGGTGGGCCCTCCATGCTCACAGGTGGGAACAGGTGTCGCTGGCCGAGAGCCCCTGGGGTAGACGGGGAGAGAGCTGCCTGCCTCCCTGTGCTGCAGAATCCACTCAGAACGCGGGGGACGCACAGCCCTGTGAGCGAGATGGCGTGGGGGCAGCAGTGGAGACGCGGTCGCTCGCCTTCTTCTCTACCTCCGTCCACGGAGGAGCCCAGAGACAGCGACCCCCACGCCCAGGCTGGGTGCCTGCTCCCAGCCTGCCCTCACAGGGACCAGGGCTCCTCAGGAAAAAGAGGGGCGGCAGCAGCAAGGGGTTCTGATGACCCTGGAGCGTCTTTAGGGCCAGAAAGTAGGGAGTCTCTGGAAGAGCCACCACGTCAGAAGTGGCCGTAAAGAAAGCCCGCGTGGCCACATGAGCGCTGATAAACAGGCTGGAGGCACACGTGACCCTGCGGTGGAAAGCCAGCTCACAGAGGCCGAAGGAACAGTGGCCCCAGAAGTCACCACTCAGTGGCCAAGGGAACCCCAGATTCTGGCGAAAACCGTCCCAGGATGCTGGAACACAGGAGGCTGCTTCTCCGCCTCACAGTGCCGGGCGGGGCCCAACGGACACCCCTCAACCGAGAAGTCCAGGCACAAACCACCATGCCACCCTGGGTCCCGCTGGGACAGCCCCGTCACCCCTGCGGGCCTCCTGCCAAGAGCATGTGCCCTAGACCCGCCCTGAGGGACACGGGGCACATGAGCTGGGCTGTGTCCTGACGTTCAGATGAGAGGCTGGCGAGGTGCGGGACTGCAGGCGACGTGGCCTGGGGCCGCCCTTACACCGGTCGGTTGTGCTCGCCGAGCCACGGGAGTGCTCACCCTTCACGCTTAGGTGCCGCGGGGCCGAGCCGCCCACTTGCCGCCGCTCCTGCAGTGGGAAGCGGGAGAGCATGGGTGCGAAGTGTGCCATCCGGGGGTTTTCTTTCCTGTTCTGACTTTCCTCTAAGTCAGAAATTGTGCCTGAATGAAAAGTTAGCAAGGGAACGAACTGGATGGGACAGTGGCCCTTGCCTGCCTGCCGTCCTTCCCGGGACCATCTCCGGCCCTGAGTGGCGGACGGGAGCGGTCAGCCGAGGGCTGCCGTTCGCGCGACGTCCTCCCACAGCCTCTTACCTGATCCCACTGCCCCACGTGTCCAGGCAGGAGGCTCCGTGCCCCGGGGACAGCACCGGGCCTGCGCACCTGGACCCGTGGCACAGGCACCTCCTTGTGTCCAGGGGCGGGGGGGACACGCCTAGGGTAGGGGTAGGAGAGCCTGCAGCGGGGCCAAGCCGGGGAGCCGGGTGGGGCCAGCGCGGGGCTCCAGGGGCAGCAGCAGCGGCTGCACCACCTGTGACGAGTAGACGTCGTTTTGTACCAGAAACACGTTGAGTTTCAAAACTGGACCCAGGTCAGCCCAACCGCCGTTGCCCGTTGTCTCTGCCGCCCCGGCACTCCCCTCACTCAGATGGCGACGTGATGGCCACGCTGGGCGGGCGTGGAGAGAAGTCCCCGGGAGGGAGAATGGGGCACATGAGGGACTTGTGCTCAGAACCATAGTGGCGAGAAGAGGAACAAGGCCACTCACCTGGGCTGGGCTCCCCCAACACCTGCTTTTGGACGCCCTGGGTCCCAGACCTGGGTGGGGACGGCAGGTGAACCGGGCCGCACGCGGCTCCTGGAACCAGAGCGCTCTGGGTGGTGGTCTTCTCACGGATGGCCGCGTGTCTCCACCCAGGAGGTGGGAGGCTGCCACCAGGAGTCTGGGGGAAGACCGGGCCACTGCGGTCAGAGGCACAGGGCCTGTCCGCTAGGTCCTGGGGCGGCCAGCACCACGGCTGAGTCAACTTGCAGGCCTCCCGGGACGCTCCCCCCGCCCCCTCACACATGCTCGGGGGCTGTTCCCAGGAACACACACGCGGCCGGAACCCCCAGCTTCCACCGGCCTCCAAGCGGAAATCCCCGCATGTGAGCGCGGACCTGAAACCTGGGTTCCCCTAGTGCCCATCCCTTTGCTCCTGGGTCCCCAGGACACTCAGAGTGCCCCCCGGGATCAGCATCAGAATTAAAGGAGACCAGGCAGTGGGAGGGCGCCCATGATTCACACCCTAAGGCTGAGACACTCGGTTCCAGGTCTGGCATCTTGGCCACAGGCATCTTGAGCTACTGGAGAAAGGTCGGTCAGACTAGTCTCCCCTGAGCCTTTCCCAGCCAGGACGCTCTCCTGAGACGGCCGGGGGTGGGGGCAGGGCCGGGCGAGGGGGGCAGAGGGCCCCTGCGGGGTGGAGCTCCAGGCTGGGCTCACGGGCCTCCTTCTGTCCCCCAGACGCAGCCAGTGCCCAACCCTGTGGCCTACTTCCTGCACCAGTCCCCATGGTGGGTCCACCGCTTCGAGACACTCAGCAACCACTTCCTCGAGCTCGTGGTGCCTTTCTTCCTCTTCCTCGGACGGCGAATGTGTACCCTCCACGGGGCCTTACAGATCCTGTTCCAGGTGAGCCCACACGTGCGTCATCACTGTAACTGTGTCCCTGAGAGGAGTCTCCGCTGGGAGGACAGGCAGGTGGCTCCTCCCTTGCGTCCGGGAAGCCGTCCGTGCTGGGTTCTAGGGGCGTCCTCCCATGGGGTCATCCCTCTCCTGGGTTAGCCGTCCAGCCCCGAGGTAGAACAAACGGGGGAGGGCAAGAGGCAGAAGCAGGCTTCCCGCTGAGCAGGGAGCCCGACGTGGGACTCGATCCCAGGACCCCGGGATCATGACCCGAGTGGAATACAGACACCTAACAACTGAGCCACCCAGGCGTCCCGTTTCCTTGTAATTAAATTCAGGCAGCTGACCTGGAGGTCATCATTAGCTTTGGAGACAGAGTGTCCAAAACTGGGATTCCGACTGCTCCGTCGTAGCTGCTGTCCTTGCGGGGGGACAGCTCGCAGGGAAGGGCACGGAGAGTGAGCGTTCTGGGAAGCGCGTGCCCCGCCTCGCCTGCCCACGGGGAGAGCCGCAGGCCGTGGAGGGACCTCTGCCTCGGGCTGTGCCCCCTCCCTGTGTCCCGTAGTTGGCTCATCTGTTGTTCCATCGGTGGAATTTCCGGGTGTTTCCAAGTCTTTGTGGTAACAAATAAGGCTGCGGGGGGCGTGTGTGTGAAGGGAGGCCCGTGTCCAGGCGGGCGTGACTCCCGTGGTACCGCGGTCGTATCTAGAGCAGCGAGTTGTGCAGACGGACCCCACATTCAGGAGGCTGCGAGGGGGCTCATGCGCTCCAAAATCCCACAGCCCCGAATGCACTCGGGTGGACGTAGAAAGGCACAAACCACGTCCTGCTGCCAGTGTCTAGGAACGGCCGAGCGCGGTACAGAAGCAAACGCGCGGGGTTAAGCAGGCGCTCAGGGTGGGGCACCTTCCCTGAAACCGCCAGGTCTGCGGCATTTTGCGGTTTCTTGCTACGGCTGCAACGACGCGGGCGTAGGGACGCGATCTCTCAAGGAACGCCCACTTCTCATACACGCGCCGTGACGTACACTAAGTGTGCATCCTGGGGTCTCACCGTCCCCTGCCCTCCAGCCCCGACCCCCCTCGCTTCACCTCCTCCCCGACTGTGCCGCGTGTCCACCTTCGTCCTGTCGGCTGTCACGCGGCCGAGGGCTGGGCGGCGGCGTGCGGGATCCGGCGGGAAGCCCTGGCAGCGTCACGGGACTGCCTTCTGGTCCTCGACCACAAGACTGGTCCCGCGGCGGCTGTGACGGGCGCAGGAGCTCTGGTCCACACTGGGGTGTGTTCGTACGAGGCACCTCGTTTTCTGACACTGTAGACGCCATCTTTAACTACGTCGTCTTCCTCTGCGCTGCCCGAGTGTGCCAATGCCACGGACGCGGCCATCGTCACGCACGCCGGCCCCTGCACCAGTCGGTCCCGGTCGGCCGTGTGCTCGCCCCGCGGCAGCTCCCAGAGCAGCGGAGCACCGGCAAGTTGAGCTCCGCACATCTGCTCCCTGCGGCTCAGGCAGCCAGCGCCGGGCTCCCGCGTGCTCTCGAGGGCCCCAGCAGGGAATGCCGGCGTGGGCCACCTTCCCCAAGTCCCATCTGTTTCTGGTTTCCTTGTGCCATTTTTAGTCACCGAATTAAACACACGGTTCTCTCTGCACCCGCTGTGAGGAGGTCACTTCACGCTCCCGAGTGGCCGACGTGGTCCATCACGGTTCACCTCCCAGGACGAACGCCTCTTCGGTCACCCTGCGCACTGCGATGCGTCCCGGGGGCTGCCTGGCCGGCGTCGGCGTGCACCATGCGTGGCCGTCGCTGCAGGCCGTGCGGTGGTGGCAGTGACCTGCCCGGCTGTGCTCCCGGCAAGCAGGACAGAGGCAGGGCTGCCAGGGGACGGGGACTCGGCCCCTGGGGCTGGCGGTCGGGCCGCGCCCATTTCCTCTGAAGGCAGACGTCGCAGCAGACGTCGTGCTGGGGACGGGGCCGCGTGTCACAGCAGAGCCGCTTCCTTAACGGAGCAGCCGCCTCAGCTGGCATCTTTGGACTTTCACATCTTTGTGTTCCCTCGTGTCCCGTCGTTCTCAGCGTCCGTTTTCTGACTCGGCTACTCACGTGGCTTCCCGCGGCTGAACAAGTGCTCCCCGCACGGACTCCACGCCCAAATTTCACCCCCACACGGCCGCCGCGGCCGCCCCAGAGCTCAGGCCCAGGCCTGCCACCTGCTGCCGCCCGCCAGTGCTTCAGCCGCTGTTGGGAGTTAACGTTCTCGTTGTGGACAGTCACGGATCTGCAGAAAAACGCAGCACAGAGCGCGGACGGTCCCGAAGTCACATGACACGGCGGTACAGGGTCCGCACAGCAGTGTGTCAAGTGACACGTCGGTAGAGGATCCCCATATCCGTGTCACGTGACACGTCGACTTAGGAGCCCAGACACCTGATCACCAGCGGGATTACGAGAGTTCGCTGCAGGGTCACCGGCGCTGTGCATCCTCTGGGTTCGGACGCGTCTAGTGACAGGGGTCTGTCGGTCACAGAGTCCCTCCACTGCCCCGAGAGCCTTCTGTGCTCCCAGACCCCGCCTCAAGCCCAGGGCAGCCCCTGACACCCGGCTGTCGCCGTAGCTCGGCCTTCTCCAGGACGTCCCGTGGCTGCGGGCGCCCGGGACACTCGCTCTCCCGACGTGCCCTCACTTAGCAGCGCACGCTCGGGGGTCCTCGTTTTCCCGGCTGAAGCGCTCACTTCCACCGCGGAGCAACCCTCTGCGGTCTGCGCGCGCCACAGTTCACGCGTCAGGAAGCCGGACTTGGCTCGAGGGCAGCGCCGCGGCCGGGCCGGTGAGCCCTGCGCCCCCCACCCCGATAAGGGCCCCCCCCGGTAGGCAGGGGCGCACGGGCCGCATGCCTGCCGCGCCCACCCTGAGCCCTGTGCTCCCACAGTCCCAAGCCAGCAGAAGGCGACTCCGGGCCGGCTCGAGCGCCCGACGGGGTCCACCAGTGTGGGCACCACCTCGTGCCGGACCCTCCCCTGCTGTCCCAATTCCAAGGTGACTCGGACGATCCGGCCCTGCACAGCCGTGCCGGGAGTGGGGCTCTGCGTGGCTTTGTGGTCACCATGGCGACAGACGACTGCCTGGGGAGGGGAATGTGGGGCATTCACTAGCCCCCTGCCCACCTTGGCTGCTTTTCCAGGCTGCGGACTGCTAGGGACCCTCTCCAGGCGCTAAACCTGCCTGGGCCTGGGGGAAGCAGTGTCCACCTCCCGCTGTCTCTCCCCAAAACCTGACGGCTGGCTGTGACGAGTACCAAGGAGAAGCCAGTTGTCCTGTCACTTGAAAAAGTGAAGGAGGTTTGCGACCCTGGGGCAGACTCAACTCTCCGACCCGGGACCCTCTGAGTGCCCTTGTCCACAGAGCACGTGGCGGGACTCCTGCTCCAGGCCGGCGACTGGCTAGCTGGACCCGGCTCAGTGGCAAGTCCAAACCCCAGCCCAGGCCACCAGTGTCCCCCTAGCACGTGGAGGGGCCCAGGGCTCAAGCGTGGATGGCTCGGCCAGGAGCGGCCTGAGGATTGGGCCCTGACCTGGCTCTGGGAGCTGCTGCCTGGGTGGGTAACGGTGGACAGCGGGCGCCACAGGAGCTCAGCGTGGGGCCCGAGCTGGACCTTGCTGACCCGCAGCTCTGGACGTTATTCCAGAAGACCAGCTCACGCACTTGCCTTCTGTCCCCCAGAGACCTGGGGAGCCCCTGGTCCAGGCACGTCCCAGGAGTCCTCGCCAGAGCCATGGTAGCACTGCGGCTCTCCAGGGTCCAGTGCCCTGCCCGGCTCTCCGGAGCAGAGAGGACGGCCAGACAGCTGGTCCGCCGCCGTCCCGGGCAGTCTGGGGCTCCAGCGTGGGGGCTGCAGGGCGCAGCCTCACGGCCGCAGCTTAGCTCTCAAGGATCCCCGCGCTGTGCCAGGGGCCGGTCACTGTGCGGAGCAGTGCGCGGCGTGGGGGGTTAGGCTCAGTCCTGACGGGCCGCGCTTCTCCTGCGCCCGACAGCCCGAGGGACACCTCCGGATCTGTTGTTTCCGCTCATTCCTCCGGGGTGGGGCTGAGGATGCGGACGTGCTCCTCTCCTCCTACGCTGGGTTGACACAGCTGTTCCGGACGGTTCTGCGAGGCCACGGGGCTGCTGTCTACTTGGAGAGGGGCACGTAAGACTCAACCGGAGAGCTGAACCGCCCGGGCCCAGACGCCCCCCGCCTTGTGACATTAAGCCTCGAGTCTGAGGGAGGGACCCTGGCAGGGGCAGCATCTGTAAGGGATAGGAGCGCGCGCCCCCCTAGTGGGACCAGGTGCTCAGAGGCAGGTGGCTCCTGGTTGGAGCAGAGAGACCTGCCTCCGCCTCCCACCACGTCCTGCTCCTTCCACCCTCTGTGACTTTGGCCGGAGTCAGGAACGGGTCACGGTGAGGGCCATCACCAGGGCAACAGCCAGAGGCCACACGCCCAGAGCCGGGGTCCCGGGACACACAAAGTTGCCCATGAGCACGTGTGTCCCCGGGACGCCTACACTGTAAGGGAACCGAAAAGACGTTCCGAAGTTATTCACGCGCAGATGGGCCGTTCCTGACCCGGGGACCCTGCGGAGAGGCCGCGGGCGGGCGTCCTCCAGTCCCCGCCCTCCTGACACTTTTAGCACAGCGGTTCAGAGCCTGACGGCGTTCTCGCGGCAGGGCTGTGCGTCTGTGCGGGGGCCCCGCCGGGCTCACCGTGTGACTCTGCCCCTAACCCCCCTGGTGGCATCGTAGGCGTCTCCGATCCGTTCGTCGCTGTCATCAAATCACAATTCTGGGACGTGATCTCTCGGTATTTCTCTGCCGCCCTCGCTTCCCGGGACGTGGCACCCGGTGCGTCTGTCGGGCATCCCGTCCCGGTCCGTGCTGTGGCTCAGAGGGCGCCTCGCCTCCGGACCCTGCCGTCCCCGCGCCCACTCGCCTCACGTCTGGGAGCCGCCCCGTTGGCGCTCTCCGAGTGCGTGTGGCTCTTCCCACACTTTCCGCGTTTCTCCTGCTCGTGACCAGCGTCTCGTTCTCGCGTTCGCAGAGGCTGCTCGGACACGCTTATGCACCAGCTCCAGGTTTCCTCCCGCCTCCGATCTGTTCTCCTGAGCCCCTCTCCTTGGCTCGCGGGTCCTCGGGCCCCCACGGGACGCCGGCCGCCATGGGCCGCGGGTGAGGGTGCGGACGCCGTGTCCTCGGTGCCGAATCCCGCCCTGCCGAGCAGCTCTCCTGCTCGCAGGTCCGGCTCCCCGTACGGCCGGGTCTGACGGAGCCTCTGAGGCAGGGCTGGCTTAGCCTTCCTCCGGGCGGGGCCGCGCGGGGTCTCTGCCTGGCTTTCCCCTAGGTCTCCGCCCACGTCGTCCGGGAGCTTCCACGTGCCTGGGACCCCGAGGCTGGCAGACGCAAGGGCACCCCGGCCGTCCCTGCGCCTACTGGCCTGTGTGCCTCCTGGCACAGCGCCAGCCCGCCGCCTCGACCTCCCCGACATGAAGCTCTGCCCTTCAAGGGTTCCTTCCCTGGGCGGAGGCCCACTACCTGCCTCCAGGGAGGGCGGAGGCTGACGTGGGTCTGCGTGGCTGCCTGGGCTCAAGCGTCGCTGGCCCTGTCCCCCGTCCCTGTCCCCCGTCCGGCTGCAGCACTGCTCGCTCCTTCCAGCCCTTGAGCCTTGAGAAGCCAGTCGCCCTGGATGCAAAGTCAGTGTTCCTGGAGCCACTGAGTGATGGCACAGAAGGGTCGTGGCTTTGGGACGCAGGGGCTCACTCCACTTCTCGAGGACGAAAGGGCACGGTCAGGGGTGGCCCGCCAGCGACCGATGGCTCTGCGGGAGTCTTGAGAAACTCCCAAGTTCGTGCCTGCTGGGCTCTCCTCCGCGCAAGTGACAGGAAGGGTGTGCCCGAGTGTGGGATCGGATGGTTCCAGGGACGCAGACAGGACAGAGATGCTGGAGGAAACGGGGCATCTCGGACAGGCTCCCTGGGCTCTCCTCTGTCCCCGTCCTCACCGCTGGGGGTTTGCACATGGAGGTCGGGGAGGCCCGGCGCCTGGGCAGACAGGGCCCCGGGGCTCTGCTCCGTTCTCAGGGGAGCCAGACCCCGCGGCTGCACGTTGCTCTCTCTCCAGACGACACCGGCTGTGCCCGCACTACGTGACCGCCTGCGCCCCAAGCCGGGCTTTATTCCAGAGGGGTGAGCGGGCAAACCTGCACGAAGGCAGCCCCGCAACACGGCGGAAACACCCCCTGCGCCGTCCTTCCACTCCCGTCCGAGGCCCGGCACCCACGGGCGACTTGCCCGCGCCCTCCGTGTTTCAGTCTAAACGCTTACACGGTCTTAACGTCTACTCCATCCCAGGACACGAGGGACCCTGTGAGCGGGCAGGTCACTCCGCTGGGGCGTCCTGTGTAAGGTCCTGTGTAAGGGCTGTCGAGAAGCCCCTGGGGCTGGCCGGCGGGTCTGCCCTCCCTCAGGGTTTCTCAGACACACCTTCCGGCACAGCGGTCCCATCTGCTCCGCACTGGGTCCTTCCGGGGCTCGGCTGCGACACACGGGAGCACGGGCAGCGAGCGCTCTCCGCAGGAGCGTCCGGTCAGACCGGCGGCTTTGGGCCTGGGTTGCTGTGGGCGCTCAGCACGGCCGCGAGGGGCCGGGGGGAGACACCGTGTCTCAGCGTGGCTGCCGGCTGGGCTCGTCACGCCTGGAGAGGTTGGCCCCTGGCCACGCCGCTGCTGGGCCTTCTAGTGGTGACGGTGGCCGTGTGTCCGGGCGGTCTGAGGGTCGCCGTGAGGGTTTGTCCAGACAGGCCCTCCGTGGCTAGAGGTGGGTGCTGGTGGCCAGCAGCGCGAGAGGGGCTCTGAGGGGCAGGTGTGAGGCCCCCCACCTGCCCGGCGCCCCACCCGGCACAAGCACAGGCTTCCGGCCGTGGGGGCCGGAGGCAAGGTCACTGTCTCGGCAGCCCTCGGGCCGCACAGAGCAGTGGAAGGAGCTGCAGCCGCCACCTTCCCCTGTGGCCCGAGAGCTGCACCGAGAACACCAGCCGTCGCGTCTTGACGGGGATCCAGACAAAAAGGACGTTTCCGTGAGCGCGCGGAGAGCTGCCACCCTCGGCCAGAGCGCGGCCCAGACTCCTGAGCCGTGAATCCACACCTCGTAAAACGCCGTCGTAATCCGTAAAACTGACACGACCCATCGAAAGCTCGGCTCCTCCTGCCAGACCCTCATTAGGCTGGCGTCTGGGACCTCACATTCGTCCCCGACGGCTGGGATCGGGACCCAGCTGAGACGCAGGACGAGTGGGAGCCCGGCTGCCAGGAGGCCCGACCTCGACACCCCCGCCCACGCCGGGCCACGCCTGCCCGGTATCCCACGCGAGGGGACAGCCTGCTCTGCTTGGTGGACGGCCGTGGGCTTCTGAAGGTCACGCTTGTTGCACAAATACGTCCGTTCGGTCACGTGTGCGGATGAACTCTGGCCCTTCTCTTCCAGCCTCTGGGGCGACTGTGCGGTGTTCTGGTCTCACCACTTTTCGCAGTTGCCGTGGAAGCACGTCTGGCCACTACCCAGCTCGCCAGGTCCCCCTCCTGTCTTCGCTGCTCCTGAGGGCGCAGGCGGCGGCTGGCGAGCGCCCTTAACGGCTTCCTCTCCAGCCTCGGGCTGCCTCCACCCTTCCCGGGACTCGCCCCTGGGACGGTTCTGGAACGCGCAGAATCCCCGCTGCAGCCCCACAACCGAGTCCTCGTGAGGAAGAGCCCTCGGCCTCGCAGCGGCACGTCACAGCCGGGGCACGTCGTCGTCCTCCGAAGCCCGGAGGAAGCCAGCGCTGCCCAGGATGCGGGCACGGCCCAGGTTGTGCAGCTCGAGACGGGTAACTCGGAACCCAGTGAAAAGCAAACTCCTCCCCTTCTGGAGATGCTGTCACTGGCCACCTACGCGCCACGCACGGGCCACGGCCGGCTCGCAGGCGCACGGGGCCCCCGGCCGGCTACACGGGGTCCCAGAGGCGGGGCCGCACAGCACACAAGCCGCGGAGACCGGAGCCCACCGAGTTCAGGAACAGGCAGAGTGACAGGCGGCGGCAGTCAGTTCACAGGTCGTAGGGTGGGGGTTGGAGGCGGTCTGGGATGGAAGCTTCTGGATTTTATGGTGGTTTGCACAAGAGTCAGCATCTGGGAAAAGCCTTTGCACTGGGTGCTTCAGAGGCGCGCAACCTCCCACGTGTGTCCAGGAGACTGAGGAGCGGAGAATGCCGAGCGGCCAGGGACGCACGGCTCCCGACGGGCTCCCAAGCCCGTGCCGCCGCGGGGCCGCCTCTTCACACCCGGACGCCTCCTTCCCAGGGGCCCTGCTCGGCGGCCACGGCCTCTGAGGGCTGGCTGGGCTCGTAGAGCCTGGTGCCCGCGGGCAGGGCATGGGCGCAGCAGCCTCCCCTCGCCGCCCTCCAGCACCCAACGACGGTGTCCTAATCAGGCCGAAGAGGTTATTTTTAAGTCACTAAACCGCCTACAACACGCACAGCTGCTAGGAGGACGTTCCAGAAGGCCTGGCTGCGAGGCGGCTTCAGGCGCAGCCCCCTGCCGGCCGGCAGCTCACCGGGCAACGGGCTGAGCACGCGGGATGGCCCCAGCCATCGCACTCCGACCAGAGACTTTGCGACCTTGGTTCTTAAGACCAAGAGGCTACGTTGTCTCTAGGGTGAGCCCCACGGGGACGCTGCCGCCACGCGGTGAGTACCAAGTCCGCAGACGAGCCAGCGGGACTGGGACACGGGGGAGGCCCGCTGGACGTCTAGACCCCGTGTCACCCCAGACGCTGTGGCGGCACCCGCCGGGGCTGCTCCAGGCCTCTGAGGGGACAGTGGCCTGCCCCAGCTCACGGTGCCCAGAAAGTGGAGGAGGTCGGGCTCCACAAAGCCACACAGAAGGGAAGATCAGCCAAGCCCGTCCCAGCATGTGCCCAGGTCCAGGCCGGCCTCACGCACAGTCACTGGGGCCACGGCTCGGGGGCTGCTAGGTGTGGAGGACAGGGCGGCCGGACAGGGCCCATCACCTGACTTCTGGGTGCGCAGTGAGAGCCTCGTCCACCTCCCACAGGACTGAGGACACCCGCGGACAGTCACCATCGCGATGGCCCCACACTCAAACGCCAGCCCCAGTCCCCACAAAGCCGCCAGCTCCCAGGTCGGTGGGTGGGCGTCCGGCAGCCCCAGAGGCCAGAACCGAGGTGTCCACAAGTTGGGGCCCACCAGGGCTCTAGTAAGAACTGCCTCCGATCAGCTGAGGCGTGGACACGCGCGGGGCCCGGCCCTCCAGACGTCTCCCCACACCAGCACGGCAGCCGCCCCGTCCTCCACAGCGTCCCCCATGGGCCTGGGCTCAGACACTGCCCCGTCCCCTCCAGGTGGTCCTCGTCATCAGCGGGAACCTGAGCTTCCTGAACTGGCTGACCATGGTGCCCAGCGTGGCCTGCTTCGATGACGCCACCTTGGGGTTCTTGTTTCCCTCTGGGCCTGGCTGCCTCAAGGGCCGAGTCCTGAAGCTGCAGGAGGAGGCCGCCCGAGGGCTCCGGCCCCCCCCGAGATACGGTGAGTGGACAGCAGAGCCACTAGCCAGAGTCCCGGCTTGGGAGTGAGGGGCCGCCGAGGGTCCGAGCCCCGGAGCAGAGCTCAGCGCCCCGTCCCCCTCTCTGCCCCCCACCAGGCTGCATGGTGCGGCGGGCGGTGCATGTGGCCCTGGGCGTCCTGGTGGCCTGGCTCAGTGTCCCCGTGGTCGTCAACCTGCTGAGTCCCACGCAGGTCATGAACACGTCCTTCAACCCTCTCAGGATCGTCAACACGTACGGCGCCTTCGGAAGGTACGGGCGCGGCGGCTCCTTGCCCCGGCCCCTGCGCGCACACGCGGGACCCGGGGCCCTGAGGGACCCCCCGACCCTCCGTGTGCCAGAGCCCCCTCCTCGGTCTCCCCACAGCATCACCAAGGAGCGCACAGAGGTCATCCTGCAGGGCACGGCCAGCCTCAACGCCAGCACGCCGGACGCCGTGTGGGAGGACTATGAGTTCAAGTGCAAGCCCGGGGACCCCGGGCGGCGGCCATGCCTCATCTCCCCCTACCACCACCGCCTGGACTGGCTCATGTGGTTCGCGGCCTTCCAGGTAAGGGCCTCTGCTGTCCTCCCCACCGGCTGTGTTCCCAAGGCTGCAGCCCCTGCGGTGGGGACGCCCAAAGTGTGGCCGGTGGGGTGCGGTCGCTGCCTCACGTGACCACCCCACAGCCCGCATCTTCCTTCTGGGTCTTCCCCTTGCTGTTCTCTGCCAGCACAGGCCCTGCCTCTGGGCAGCAGTGCCCCTCCCAGGTGGGGGTCTCTGCATCGCCCGGACCGGACCGCCTCGCACAAGGGTCTGTGGGTGCAGAGGGCCACGGGGTCACTATCAGCAATGGCAGGACAAGCCTGCTAGGGCTGTCCCTGTCCCGTCTGCCTGTGCAGACTGTCGCTCACATGAGACCCCCAGGGCCGGCAGGCGACAGCACTGAGAGGCCACCACCTCTCCCCCCGAGAAGGGGACCGCTGCAGGACGCGCCCCCTCCCCCCCCCGCCGAGAGGAGCCATCTGCAGACCCCTGCCCAGTGAGCCAGGGCTGGGCGCGAGCGTGGACCCACCACCAGGAGGGCTAACCCCCCACCACAGCTGAGGGGGAGCAGGCGGGGAGCTGAGGGCCCTGGGCCCACGGCCGGGTTGCCTCCCCCCAGAGGGCTCCCTGTGTCCCCAGCTCTGCCTGGAGCCGGCACCCCCTCCCTCTCTCGCCCCAGACCTACGAGCACCACGAGTGGATCCTGCACCTGGCAGGCAAGCTTCTGGCCAACGACGCCACGGCTCTGTCCCTGCTGGCCCTCAACCCTTTCGAGAACAGGGCGCCCCCCAGGTAGGACTCCCCTCCTGCACGGGACCCTTGGCCCCTGCAGCCTCTCGGGGCTCCTCCTCCAGGGGCACCCACAGCCAGCTTGGAACCCCTGCAAGCGCGCGGGTGCAGGTCCCCTGCGCTGGGAACCCCCCACGGCCGCGGCCGGTCCTCAGTGCCTGCGGGCTCGGGGCTGAGGGCCCTTTGCAGATGTCACCTGGGCCCCCGCGGTCCCTGGGCCAGGTCCACGTGCCAGTCCAAGGAGCGGCAGCTCGGCAGGCGGCGGACGGGCCGCCTGACACGGGGTCTCCCCTCGCAGGTGGGTCCGGGGAGAGCACTACAGGTACAAGTTCAGCCGCCCCGGGGGCCGGCACGCCACCACAGGCAAATGGTGGGTCCGCAGGAGGCTCGGGCCCTACTTCCCCGCGGTCAGCCTCCCGGACCTGAAGGACTACTTCCAGTCGCGGGAGTGGCCGTACCCCGAACTGCCGTAGGAGCGGCCTCGGGCCTGCGTGTGGACCAATAAAAGCAGAAGCGCGGCTGCTGGAGTGAAGGCTCGTGTGCCCGGGCCCCGCCGCCCTGCGTCCTGACCTCTTGGAAAGCAGGCTCAGTGAGCAGGGGCTCCCCGGGCCAGCGTGTCCCCTCCTTTCCTCCTGAGTTCATCACACGGAGCCCCCATAAAGCCCCTGACCCTGTGGTGTCCATCGGCACCTGCCGCACAAGGGAGGGCGGGTCCCCAGTCAGGCCCTTCTGCCCGGGCAGCTGAGCCCCATTCGCCACCTGGTGTGGCCCCAAGGAAGCTGCCACTCCCTGTGCTCTTGGCCCCCGTGGCTGTCCTCCCACATCCAGGATAGGCCTGGGAAAGGGAGAGGCCAAGGCGGCCGGTCCTCCCCTCACGCCTGCCCCCTTCTCAGAACCTTCGTGCCTCCCCAGGGGGGACGTGTCCGGCATCCGGAGGCATGGACAGAAGCCCCTTGTTCCTCCCCAGGTGGGCCACCTCCTCCCCCCTCCTCCTCCTCTCCTCTTGACCACATCCCCCCCACCCCGACTCCCTGACCTGTGGAGGGGGCTCAGCTGGGGACACCGGGCCTGGGCCCTGGATGTGCCCGCTGCGGCTCGCGCCAGACGGGGTATTCCCGGCGCGGCGGGGCTTCCGGGCCCTCTGCCGCCTGACGTGTGTGCGGCCCCAGTCCTAAGGCCTGATGTGAGCTGCGAGCAAACCGCTCCCACCGAGGGCCGCACCCCTGCGGCACCAGCGGCCCAGCACCTGTGGCCCAGCCCCTGCCCGTCACCCCTCCCCTCTCCCGCAGCTCCCCTCCCTCCCTCCCTTGACCCAAAACCGCCCGGAGGCCACGCTGCTCCAGGGAGGGTCCCGGCGGGAACGCGGTGGTTCAGGCGGGAGGCCTGGCCGAGGCGGGCACAAGCGCGGGTCTGTGTGCAGCGCCTGCCCCCCGAGAGCCTGCCCGGGGGGCCAGCCAGTCCAGGTGCCAACAGAGAGGCCGTGTTCCTGCTCGCAGGGAAACAGGCTCCCAGTGTCTCTCAGAACAGACGCAGCCTCAGACGGGGAGCCCGGAGCCAGCAAGTCTGCCCGCGGCCGCCACACGGAGCGGAGCACCGGCCCGCCGCGGCCTGGGCGGCCCTTCCTGGGGGGCCGTCCCGGGAGCTCCGCCGCTGGCCGGGGGCACCAGAGTGGGCAGGGACCCAAGGAGCTTATGCCTTGGCCCGGGCGGCCACTGCCTGTCCTCGCTGCATGCCGGGCTCCCTGCCCCCCGGGGCCTCAGAACCCCTGCCTGGGGGCTCCCCTCCGGGCCTCCTTCTGGCTCGGCACCACCCCGGGCCTCCCCCCACCCTTCAGCAGGCCTCGTGCCCTGGAGGCGCCCCTGTCCTGGGACAAGACAAACATGTGCGCGCCGTGGAGACCACTGCAGGGGACTCCGGGTCCCGGCCATGGGGCCTCTGACAGAGGAGCCCCCTCAGGTCTCCACCGGCCTCCACGCACGTGTCAGCGGACAGGTCCCCCCCGCTCGCTAGCACAGGCCTGGGCTCAGCCCGTCACCCCAGTGGCCTCCCAGGCTGCCGGGCCGACACGCACACCCCCACACAGCCCTCAGGGCCCACGCTGCTCCTGGTCACACACCAGGCAGGTGGGCGCTCGGCCCGGCCCCCAGTGGCGGGCGGCAGCGATACGGGCCGGGCCGAGCGCCCACCCCAGGAAGGGGAAAGGCCCAAACTCCATTTGCCTCCGCTCTGCCCACACTGCCCTCTCTTGGAATCCGCCGTTTCCACACAAGAAAGGGGGCTCGGGGACACGAGATGTGAGCCCACCGTTCCCCACCAGGGCTGAGGCGCCGCCGGACAGCTGAGCCCAGGCGGACCGAGAGCATCCTTTCCTCCCCGCTGGCGAGGACCAGATGTGGCAGAAGCAGCGGCTCAGGCTTCGTCAACATGCCAGAGGCGCTGCCCTCACCTTCCGGGGGGGGGGGGGGCACCAAGGTTAAGGGGGGGGCTTGACCCTGGGGGGCCGAGCCCTCTTGATCCCGCAACTACACAAGGGGTCATGTGGGAGTGTGGGAGACTGGGTGTGCGCCAGCCTCCGCCCAGCCATCGGGCGGGGGCATCTGCTGGGCCGCCGGGAGGGTCCGCGCCTCATCAGATCCGAGAGCTGCGGGGGCGTCGGGTCTCCCCGGGGGCTCGGCACCTGCCCTGGGACGGCCCTGTGCTCTGCGGGAGGACAGACACCGCGGTGAACCCAAGAACGTGACGGCTCACCGCCACTGGCCCAGATGGGGCCCGAGGACCGAGCGGTTCCTGCCCCCAACGGTTCCACTCAGTTTCGGGTGCAACTACTCCCGCCGTTCGCCTCGTGTCCCTGTGACCTCGGGAGCTGTCCCGCACTCGGGCGAGATGGCCCTTCTCCACTCCCGATGCTGATTTGGGGCTTTCCCCTCCTACCTCCTTGTCAGTCTCGAAGCCCCGACGCGGGGTTTTCCTGTCAGCTCTGCGGTCGCCGGTCCGTCCTGCGGGTCCCAGTGCTCGCTCTCCGCCACCTCGGACCGAAAACTCCCGTTTCTTTCTATTCCTCCTCCTGCTCTCGGGGAAACGCAGCTGGAGGCCCCGGCCGCAGGCTCTGCGGGACACTGCGAGCCTTCCCAGAGTTCTAGAAACGCTGACCTCCCCGTTAACGCCAGACCAACAGAGGTGGGGCTTTTGGTTGCCAGAGGAGCGCATGTGGGGCTGTCCCCTCCGCTGTCCCCCCGGCATCTGCTGCCGAACCACGCCTCGGCCCCAACGCCCCGCAGCGCCCTTCGGACTGACGTCCCTCTCGGAAGCGAACGGGCTCGGGGAAGGATGGCCTCCGCGGTCCCCCGCGGCTGCCTGCCTCCCTCTGCCCAGAAGGTCCCCTGCTCCCTGGGGCCGTTCCCCACGTCGATCCCTGCCCGCGCAGCACGAAGACGCCTCCGTCCCCGGGGACGCAGCTTCCAAACCCCGCGGTGAAGTGGGGCTCACGGCACCACAAACAGACCCTTAAGATGAAACGGACCCGCCTTCAGCTTCCCTGACGGGAGCGGAAACGCCTGCGGGAAAGCGAGCGGAAGTCAGGGCCGCCGCGACCGGCCTTCTGCGAGTCACGGGAGCCGCGACGGAGCCGTGAAGCGGCGGCAGCGGATCCCGACAGCGAAGCGGACGGGATCCGGGAAGCCCGCAGCCACCGCAGGTGACTCGGGAAGAGACGAAGTCGCGAACTTCCACACACGTGAAGAGGCCGCGTCCGTGTAGACACCTCCCGACAGAGACAGCGCCAGCCCAGGCGGCCTCACTGCGCTCCCCAGGACGGGCGAGAACGGGCGTCGGCCCTTCCCAAACGCTCCCCAAAATCAGAGAAGGGGGTGCTTCCCGACTCTTCTCACGAGGCCGGGTTTACCCTGATGAACCCCTAGACGCCAGCATCTCGGGATTTGTGCAGCCGGAAGCAAATGCCCTCAACGAAACAGCAGCGAGCAGCAGCGCGACAGACGGACGCCGCGCCGTGACCAGGTGGGATCGGTGGGTCCCTCGCGCCCGCAGAACGTGGGGGGGGAGGGACACGGTCCTCTCGACTGATGCAGGAAAAGCATTTGGCACGATCCAAAACCCTTTCGTGAGCAAAGCCACTCTGGAATGCCCGTGATAATAAGATGTCGTCAGCGCACCCACGGCCAAGAGTGAACGTGAAGACCTTCCCCGCAGACCCACACTGAGACGAGAGGGGCCGCTGCCGTCCGTGCCCGTGACACCGACCGAAGTTCCAGCCAGCGCCGCTGGTCAAAACACTAAAACGCTCAGGGGCGCCTGGGTGGCTCAGTGGGTTGAGCCTCTGCCTTCGGCTCAGGTCGTGATCCCAGGGTCCTGGGATCGAGCCCCGCGTCGGGCTCCCTGCTCAGCGGGGAGCCTGCCTCCCCCCCCCTCCACCTACTTGTGATCTCTGTCAAATAAATAATAAATAAAATCTTTAAAAATAAAAAAATTTTAAAAATAAAAAGCTTTAAAGTAAAAAAGAAAAACTACCTCTAATTCACAGATGACGTGATCCTCTAGAAAAAAATCCCAATGATCCACCAAAGAAACGCGCACTAGAGCTAACGAACCAGCTGAGCAGAGCGCCAGGTACAGGACCGGCAGCGAAGTCAGCGACGAGCAGCGGGAAGCCGGCGCCACGACGGCAGGCTCCCTCACCACTGCCCCAACGGCAACAGCAAACACCTCCCCAGACGCTGAGCCGAGGCAGGACACCTGTGCGCGGAGAGCCACGTGCCGCCGCCGAAACTGGCGGTGAACAAGGCTGAGGGCAGGGGAGAGACGCACGCCTGCAAGCTCGGGACCGCGGCGACAAGGTGCGGAACCAGCCAAGGCGGTCTGCGGGCCCAGCGAACCCTCTCCGGACTCTCCAACGGCCTCGCTGTGTAGAAACGGAGCCAACACTCAAGTTCACACGGAACCACAAAGGGCCCCAAATAACAGAAACAACCATTAGAAAGACGCTGGAGGCTTCACGTTTCCCGACCTAAAAACTTAATACAAAGCTACAGCCATCGAAACGGTGTGGTCCTGCCGCGGCCACAGACCCGTGGACCAGAGGGACAGAACGGAAGCCTCGTGAAGCTTCACTCACGTGGCCAATGATTCTTGACAAGGATGCCACGACCCCTCTGGGGGGAAAGGGCAGTCGGGCGGGAGAGCAGGAGCTAGAGCACTGAAAAACGGAGCTGCGTGCTCGCCTCAGACCGCGCTCAGAAATCAACCCAGAAAACGGGCGCCTGGGGGGCTCAGTGGGTCAAGCCTCTGCCTGCGGCTCAGGTCATGATCCCAGGGTCCTGGGATCGAGCCCCGCATGGGGTGATTCTGGTTCAGCGGGGAACCTGCTTCCCTCCCTCTCTCTCTGCCTGCCTCTCTGCCTACTTGTGATCCCTGTCTGTCAGATAAATAAATAAAACCTTTTTTAAAAATAAATAAACAATAAAATTCCCAGAAGAAAACATGAATTTAACAATGGATTCTGAGGACACCAACAGCAGGAGGAGCAAAAAGAAAACCAGATAGACTGGACAACAAGAAATTTAAAACTTTTGTGCACCTAAGGACGTTATCAGAAAAGTGAAAAGACAAGCCACAGAGTGGGAGAAAATATTTGCAAACTATCTACCTGTTAAGAGTCTAGCATCCAAGACATACATGGAACTTGTGCAGCTGAGCATCAAAGACGACAAACCCCAGTTCAAAAGGACTTGATCAGGGGCGCCTGGGGGGCTCAGTCGGTTAGGCCTCTGTCTTCAGCTCAGGCTCCTGGGATCGAGTCCTGCATCGGGCTCCCTGCTCAGCGGGGAGCCTGCTTCTCTCTCTGCCTCTGCCGGCCGCTCTGCCTGTTTGAGCTCGCCCACACGCACGCTCGCTCGCTCTGACAAGTACATAAAATCTTTAATTAAAAAAAAGTACTTGATCAGCCATTCTTTCCAACAGACACACAAGTGGCCATAAAGCACACAA